CAATCTTCTTGTAATAGCTAACTAGGTGGTCCACCCTTTTGACAGCTTTTTTGCAGAGGCAGTATTTGTTTCCTGTGGTTGTCTCCTCAGTTTCAGCTTTATATGCATTTGTTCTTATGGCTTGGTCTTGTGTAATCAGAATTAGCCCCTCTGTCTCTTTCTTCAATGTTCCTCCTTATTATGGCTCATCATACAGTCAGCCAGATGTTTAGATTGTTATTATCCTACAACTTGCTTATATGGCAATCATCAAAAGCTTCCATTGATCAGAGGTCTGTATTTGAACATTATTACAGATCTTGCCCCAAATTTTAGAGGCCCACCAAATGACTGCTATGTTATTTTTTATAACATTTGGTTTATCAGCTCAAAACTACAATAATACAAACATGCTCCTGTTTCAAATGGAAAGGACACTGTCCAGAAATTTATAAATGAATGGGGCTCTAGGAGACATAAGTTATAAAACAATTTTCAAATATCAGAAACCTAATCTGTGCTGCAGTCACCAATCTTGGTAACAACTCTATCTCAAAATAAAAACTTGAATCGTGTATGATATAACATAAATCTTCCCTTTTCTTTCTCTTTCTCCCCTATTTTGAATAGCATCTATATCCCTTCAAAAGAAGAAAGAAGACAAAATTGTTTGCCAGAAAACAACTGAACAAGGAACAGGAAGATGGAGCTGCAGGATTTCATGTGAAAATAATTTACATAGACTAAAGTCCTTAATTTTTTTTTAAAAAAAAAATGCAGTATGCTTACCATGGCAACCTTTTGATCACATAGTTCACACTCTCCTGTGCTTTAAAATACACTGCACTTTGTTCAAAAGACTCCCACACACACCCCTGCTATGCGATATTAACATTTTGCTAACACAGAAAAGGAGAAGAAAGGAGGAAGGAGAAACAATCTGCTGGTATTATCTTGTCTCTCTAGCATTCTCCTGATGCAAGTATGATCTCCGTGATATTTGTATATATCAGTGCAAAGTAGGTGCATGTGTGAATACCTATACTATAAGATACATAAAAGAGACATACAAACTTGGCTCATGCATTGCAATCTGATTTATGGAATAAACAATAACTGGCTAAGTTTTGTGTAATATAGCAAGCATGCCACCTAGGCATACCCATAGAACTGCCTGGTCATTTTGATCTTAAAGGGTTTACATGCTCCAGGTTCCATCAATTAAACAATATCTTTTATTTATCTTTTACTTTTATCAGAATCCCGGAAGTACACTTTCTTTGTAGAGGTATTTGCTTCCAGAACCAGATTCCACCCAAGATCTAGATGGGCTTCGTTCTGCTGCTTGTTAGAAGATATGTGAAGACCTGGTTCTTCACCCAAGTCTTTGGTGAGGCAGAACGAGATTATGTTTGCCATCTTTTATTCTTATATTTTATACTTATTAATTTCATTGCATTTTCTTTGATTGTTGTCAAATGCCCAGAGTTGTTGAGAGTCAGGAGGCACACAAGCTTAAATAACAACCATAAGAGCAAAACAATAGCAGCAGCAAAATTTCACAAACTGATTATAAACAGCATCATGACTGAGTTACCAAAATTATTCACTGGAAACTTTGCCAGAAGTTTGGATTTGAATGTGCAGCTGGAAATATAAAATTGAGAAGTTTTAGAAGATGAACAGATTAAGATTTCATGGGACTTTAAAATCCAAACAGACAGACCCTTTGTT